CAAAATCGAATTTTTTAGCCGGGTGAACGTTGATTCCAACTATTTAAGCGACGGGCTATTCAGAACTATCAAAAGTATGTGGAAAAAGTGAAAAATGAAAAAAAAAATTTTTCACCGGAGGCCAAAGTGTTTGGATCTTGGATTTTTCCGGGGGGAAAGTCGCTCCAAGGGTCACAAGGGTCAAAGTGTCAGATGTTGGATTTTTCGCCAAAATCTAATTTTTTAGCCGGGTGAACGTTGATTCCAACTATTTAAGCGCCGGGCTAGTCAGAACTGTCAAAAGTATGTGGAAAAAGTGAAAACTGAAAAACCGTTTTTTTCGCCAAAATCTAATTTTTTAGCCGGGTGAACGTTGATTCCAACTATTTAAGCGCCGGGCTAGTCAGAACTGTCAAAAGTATGTGGAAAAAGTGAAAACTGAAAAACCGTGTTTTTTGGCCCCAGCCAAAGGGTCTGATTTTCGGGTTTTCCGGGGCAAGTGGATTTTCGCCAAAATCGAATTTTTTAGCCGGGTGAACGTTGATTCCAACTATTTAAGCGCCGGGCTAGTCAGAACTGTCAAAAGTATGTGGAAAAAGTGAAAACTGAAAAACCGTTTTTTTTGGCCCCAGCCAAAGGGTCAGATTTTCGGGTTTTCCGGGGCAAGTGGATTTTCGCCAAAATCGAATTTTTTAGCCGGGTGAACGTTGATTCCAACTATTTAAGCGCCGGGCTAGTCAGAACTGTCAAAAGTATGTGGAAAAAGTGAAAACTGAGAAACCGTTTTTTTTGGCCCCAGCCAAAGGGTCAGATTTTCGGGTTTTCCGGGGCAAGTGGATTTTCGCCAAAATCGAATTTTTTAGCCGGGTGAACGTTGATTCCAACTATTTAAGCGCCGGGCTAGTCAGAACTGTCAAAAGTATGTGGAAAAAGTGAAAACTGAGAAACCGTTTTTTTTGGCCCCAGCCAAAGGGTCAGATTTTCGGGTTTTCCGGGGCAAGTGGATTTTCGCCAAAATCGAATTTTTTAGCCGGGTGAACGTTGATTCCAACTATTTAAGCGCCGGGCTAGTCAGAACTGTCAAAAGTATGTGGAAAAAGTGAAAACTGAGAAACCGTTTTTTTTGGCCCCAGCCAAAGGGTCAGATTTTCGGGTTTTCCGGGGCAAGTGGATTTTCGCCAAAATCGAATTTTTTAGCCGGGTGAACGTTGATTCCAACTATTTAAGCGCCGGGCTAGTCAGAACTGTCAAAAGTATGTGGAAAAAGTGAAAACTGAGAAACCGTTTTTTTTGGCCCCAGCCAAAGGGTCAGATTTTCGGGTTTTCCGGGGCAAGTGGATTTTCGCCAAAATCGAATTTTTTAGCCGGGTGAACGTTGATTCCAACTATTTAAGCGCCGGGCTAGTCAGAACTGTCAAAAGTATGTGGAAAAAGTGAAAACTGAGAAACCGTTTTTTTTGGCCCCAGCCAAAGGGTCAGATTTTCGGGTTTTCCGGGGCAAGTGGATTTTCGCCAAAATCGAATTTTTTAGCCGGGTGAACGTTGATTCCAACTATTTAAGCGACGGGCTATTCAGAACTATCAAAAGAATGTGGAAAAAGTGAAAAATTGAAAACAATTTTTTTTCACCGGAGGCCAAAAGTGTCGGATCTTGGATTTTTCCGGTGGGGAAGTCGGTCCAAGGGTCACAAGGGTCAAAGTGTCAGATGTTGGATTTTTCGCCAAAATCGAATTTTTTAGCCGGGTGAACGTTGATTCCAACTATTTAAGCGACGGGCTAGTCAGAACTGTCAAAAGTATGTGGAAAAAGTGAAAATTGAGAAACCGTTTTTTTTGGACCTAGCCAAAGGGTCAAATTTTCGGGTTTCCGGGGCAAGTGGATTTTCGCCAAAATCGAATTTTTTAGCCGGGTGAACGTTGATTCCAACTATTTAAGCGACGGGCTAGTCAGAACTGTCAAAAGTATGTGGAAAAAGTGAAAATTGAGAAACCGTTTTTTTTGGACCTAGCCAAAGGGTCAAATTTTCGGGTTTCCGGGGCAAGTGGATTTTCGCCAAAATCGAATTTTTTAGCCGGGTGAACGTTGATTCCAACTATTTAAGCGACGGGCTAGTCAGAACTGTCAAAAGTATGTGGAAAAAGTGAAAATTGAGAAACCGTTTTTTTTGGACCTAGCCAAAGGGTCAAATTTTCGGGTTTCCGGGGCAAGTGGATTTTCGCCAAAATCGAATTTTTTAGCCGGGTGAACGTTGATTCCAACTATTTAAGCGACGGGCTAGTCAGAACTGTCAAAAGTATGTGGAAAAAGTGAAAATTGAGAAACCGTTTTTTTTGGACCTAGCCAAAGGGTCAAATTTTC